CATATATGCACGGATGCAGAATATTCTACTGAAAGAGCTCAAAAAAGAGCATTATTGTTCAGGTTTTACAGCTGGAGGGATGAAGGCAGTGAGAGAGAAGAGAAAACAAAAGTGTTTCCTAACTCGCACTCCGATATGAAGAGATTAGGGTAGGCATGCATGTATACCATGCATGTAGAAACGCAAAAGGTGCTGGGAAATTGTATTTGACACATGGGTGTATATATAAAACAGTATGTATCATGTTATATATTATATTCATAGCACCATCGTAAGGATGAACAGATGGCTCTAAGGAACATCTCGATGTGTCAGAGGCTTCGAGCGCTGCCGAAGGGGAGGAGATGTTCTCCAGTGCAGGGGTGGTGGTGCCCATGTTCTTCTTGGTGCTTCGTAGGTTACTTTCTGAAGCTGTTGTGTGGCACTGTTGCCAGAAAAGTGAGACCATTTGATGTTTTAATACCTTCCTTCTATAACTACGTGAGTGTTGGCAGCCAGGAAGCCCCCATTTACGCTTTGCCCACGGGGTGGTTCCCAGCCAGGAGCTTCTGCCTCGGGGTTAGGTCCTGTGCTGTCACCAATCAAGTTGTAATCCGGGTGAAATTTCAGATCTAAAAACAGCTTCCTTGGTTGCGTAAAGCACGTTTTTGGTTGGGTTAACATAGCAGGAACACTATTTGAGATCTAAAAATAGCTTCCTTGGCTGCATAAGACTTGTTTTTAGTTCAGTTGATGTAGCAAGAGCAGTGTGTGGAGCAGACAGGCCATTATAATCTGATCTCTGCGGGATGCACATCAGAACAGCAGCATTTCCATATTAGTGAGATTTCTGGATAAATAAATTGAATTCTCACCTGTTTGGTCCCTTGGAAGGAAGGATGTGAGATCCTGTGTGGGTTGAGTTCTAGTTCATTAGAGCCCTCTAGTATCTTGCATTTGCACTATGGCATCTCTTTCACATATGTTAAAGAGTATTCTGGAATTCCAAGGTCTATAACATGGAAGGACAGATACAACATGATAAGGGAGTATCTTTGAAGTGCAGCACTAGTGCAGCAGTTGCAGAACCTTGATGAAGGTCCATAGGCACCGCCAGAGACCTTGTAACAGTAGGAGCAGTACAGGTACGTCTGCTGGGACTGCATCAGCTGGGATTTGTCTTAGGTTTAGGAACGTGCTTGCCTGGGAACTTAATTGAAATAACTGTGACATAAGGCTAGAGACAACAATAGAACACTTTTTGTTGTTGTTATTCCTACTTCTTGTAACAGGTTACTGATGGTAGTATGAGGAAAACCTTGTAACATGTGGGTGCCTTGTTTTGACTCTCTGAACAAACTCTCCAATGTGGTGACTCTTCTGTAACACATCAAAAGTCTCTTTTAAGCCTTTTATGTGAATTCAGCCCTAGCAATCTGACAAACTCAAATCTTTCTACCTAAAAGATGCAAGAAGTCAAAATATTCTCTCTGATTCCGTCTCTAGATCTTGCCTTTGAGATTGCACACTTAGGTAGAGAACAGACATAAGCTGGGCTTCAAGTATTCATAGCGCTTACAGTCACAGTGAATTAAAATAAAGCAGAAGTCGAGGGAGAGCCAAATGTGGGGACATGCACAGCATGACATTTGCCCAGGCTTTTTGCCCATGTATTATCAGAGGCTGAGGGGTGCTGATTCAAAAGTATCAAGCCATCCTTCCCAAGAGAAGGATAGTAATTATGGTTGAAAAATAATAAAATTTGAAAGGCTTTTTTTTTTTTTTGAAATATTTAAGATCTTACCTGTCATCTTTTAGTTGCCAGACAGTAGGAGACAATCAACTGCCTTAAGAAAAGGAAAGTGCAAACATAACCCATAAACATAACATAAATTTGCAAAGAATTCAATAGAGCCTCCAAAAATTTTGTTGCTTAGAGTTTATACTCTGGACAGGGATTAGCTGCATATGTAAAGACCTCTTCATAAAATTCTGGTAAGTGTATTTAAATGAGTAATACTGTTTTCAAGATATTCTGTAGCAATAAGAGACTTTAAAACACAAAATCATGTGATTCTGCTGTTTCTACCACCTGTTAATGGTAAAATGAGTTAAATTAAGTTTTCAAGTGCTGTGACTTAACATGAAGCAATTTACCACATTGAAATCACTGGATATTCCAAAATAAATGCACAAAAAAGGAAGGTAAAACCCAAAGTCATTTGTGATCTGACCCGTTAGTCATTTATTTTTCAGAAAATCATAAAAAATGGCAGCAGCTCCGGAAACGGAGGAATGGTTGGCAAGCAGCAGAAGGAGGGTTTTCCGGCAGCTGCCTCTTCTGGGAGGGCATCCAGGCCACAGATCCCATCCCACAGAAACATTATGCTTTGTGTAACATAGAATATATATGCTTCATATAACATAGAAACATTATATGCTTTTCCCTGAGAATAATAGTTAGCAATTGTTCTTCCCTTTTTCACTATGCAAACAGATAATTTTGCTTGTATTTAACTGGATGACAAGGATCTAAAAAAAAAAAAAAAAACCTCTTAGAGCTTAGGCTATTATAATATCATGATTTAGATCAGGAGGGACCTTTGAAGTTGACAAGACAGGAGTGAATTTATTTCCACATTTTTCAATGTATTTAATAAATGCTTATGTGGAAAATATGAGATGGATGGATGGATAGATAGATAGATTTGAGCAATGTGAATGCAGCTTTCCTGCTTGTGTGAGCCTCTGATTGGCAGTACTTTCTCTGCTAACAGAGCTGAGTAAATGATTCCTGGTGCATCATTTATTAGTTTAAATTTGCAGCTTGAGGGAACTGAAGCTGGTTGCTATTTCAAAATACGTTAATTCAATTTTATTGGGTAACTTAAGTGAAAGTGAAAAAAAAATTAGTGTTTCAGAAATGACTAAATGTTTCATTTTCAGGCACTTAGAGAACAAGATAAAGGACTTGATCCATAAAACACTGGATGAAGCAATATTTTTTAATTTTTAATTACCTACCTAGAATTCCCATGATGTGCGGGAGGTCTGGGCTTGATGTTTTTCCTTCTGCCAACTTTCTCATCATTCAGGGATTTCCCTTGTCACTTGGCTACAGGATGTTACACAGTGTCTCACTCTCATTGCTGCTGCTTCACTTGTGCATTAAGTGTCTTCTGTGAATGAAACCATTTATCTTTTAAAAAATGATGAAATAATTTAAGTTTCCAAAACACTGAACTCTGTCTGAAAAAAGCACCTTTTAATTTGTCATTTTGACATCTATGTTCAGAAATGTTTTTCTTGGATTGACTTAAATAGAAGTTTTATTGATTGCTTGATTTGGCCGCCAAATAATAAACAGCTGGGCAAGCTGGCAGCTCTGTTACAGGGCATCTTAGCAAGATGTGCCTCTGCCTGCAGGCTTCTGTCGTGTCTGAATTACAGCTGTTGTTGCAGATCGCTGAACGTGTGAAATGGTAATGTTACAGCAGAGGAATTTGGCAAGTTCAGGCAACAGCCTGTTGCCCCATCTGGTGACAGAAAGCAATGATAATTCGAGGAGTAGCACAGCCCTCTGTGCACAGCCCTGCCAGGGCGCTCGCGGGGAGCTGACACTGGAAGTGGCCACCACTGGCTAACTGCAGCCCACAGCCTGACATGTCCATCTGAATGGAAGGACAGTGTTTATATAAGGGGCAGGCTTGTGCACAGAGCAGCAGCCCTGCAGCTGCAACCCCCCTCCCGGGTGAACAGCTCCTCTGTCCTTAGCTGGCCTGCTGTGAGGTGCAGAAACCAGGCTTAGGAAGGGGAGTTATTTTGTTCTCATGGTACATTTGCATGCTCAAATCACAGGTTTTTAGTTATCTTTGCAGCTAGTGAGGTTTGCAGTCATTCATGGTTCATGTGGTCTTCCTCGCACCGAAACAAAACTTCTTCATCCTATATTCCGTAAACCTAAGTATTTCATTCAGAATGACAAACGACCCACAGACTGTAGCACCGTTTTATGAAGCTTCTCTGGACCTCATTTGGTTGCATGTAACAGCACAAAAGGATAGAGATAAGGTATTAATAATTATTTCTACTCGGCCTTGCGGAGCGTGCGGGTGCTGGGGCGCCGGGGCAGCTTCTCAGCAGCTCGCCCGTCGGATGCTTGCAATGGCAAATTCAAGTAGAAAGGCAACCAGGTATGTGCTCAAAATGTAGGAAACCTAGCATGCAATCAAGGGAATACACTCCCACCACAAAGCTTCCCAAACCAGAAAAGGAATTCTTATTAGCTGATGTTTGAGGTTACTTTTGTGACAGCTAGTAGAGAAGTATCCAGCGTGTTTAGCAATTAAGCTAAAAGATGGAAGAATAAAACATCAGCCTTAGGAGTGATGTGCACAGTTCCTGTTGTGAGTAGTTCCAGTTTACAGCTTTATAGATGTGTATTAGAGTTCTGGTCTCTGCATCCTGAGAGAACTGGAGAAGCTGCAGTGTTTTTCTTGCCTCTAACCTCAAACTGTTCTATGGTAGAAGCTGTACCCACATACATGTGCTAACAACTGACTTCTTTTTGTTAGGTAATCAAAGAGACTGAGAACCTTCAGGAGAACTTTAAAATGATAAATTCTAATCAATATTAAAATTAAATATTTAATTTCAGGTCTTTTTGTAATTTTAAAAATTCAATTTAATTCCCTAAATGAAATGTTTTAAAGTAAGAATACAAAGACTTTTACTTTAAAAGGTCAACATGAATAATTTATGCTTTAAAGTTTTATTTTTTTTCAGTTGACTAAAATTATTCTGAGTGTATACATATTAGCTATCCCCCACCTGCCCCCCAAAGAAAAAAACAGTTGTTCTTCACTGAAACAAAGGACTCTGTTTGAAACATGGATCTTTGTATTTTACATAGCAACACAGGTTCATAAAATGTGCTCCAATGTCTGTGATTCCTCTTGGCTCTTTGTGAGTGCAGCCATTAATTCTGTCCTGCTGAATTTCTTTTTTTTTTTTTTGGGAAGGTGGCTCAGCTGAAGCAAATGTTAGAACAACAAGCAAGTAATTTCAAAGAGTCACTGAAGAAACAGAACCTGCAGGCCATCAAAGAAAAGGAGAAACTTCTGCAGGATCTTCAAAACACCATTAAAGAAAACCAGAATGTTAAGCTGCAGCTGGAGGCATCACATCAAAAGATCTTAAAAATGTTAGAGAAAAGCAAAAATCGGGAACTCAAGGTCAGTTTACAAGCTACTTTTTTTTTTTAAAGTCTTCGTTGTGGGATAAGTTATTTAACTAAGAGCTGATTATCAAAATTCACTTATTTCCAGTTATCTTAATGAAGAGTTGCAATTGTTGCATGCAATGAAATATCCCATGGCTTTGAGAGCTCATCATCTTGTTTTTTGTTTTTTTTGATTTTTTTAGTATTTATATTAATAATTGAACTTATACCCCAGAGCAGATGGAACAGTTAGCATAGAAAAATATCCACCTTGTGCAGTTAGGCTGAGATGATACAAGCTCTTTCATCTGCTCTCATGTTTCAGAAATACAAGAGAATTTTGAAGTGTGTCATGAGCAGGACTCTCTTTTTCATACTTTATTAATTTGTATATAGTTTACATGAAGTATAATATACATTATACAACATGCAGGTATAATATACGTTTTACTTCATACAACATACAAGCATAATGATGTATATTGGCTTAAAGATATCTTCAAGGAATCACTTCTGTAAGTGTATAACACTTTTAAAGGTTCAAATGTATTTCAATGACAAAATGTTAATATATGCAAGTTCTTACTGCATGTGCTTCTAAAGTGGGAATTTACTGAGAAAAAAAAAATGATTAAATGATTAAAAAAATGATTGTGACATGAAGTTCAGATGTCCATGTTAAAATCAGGCGCCCTAAGGAACCCTCCTTTTAAAATGTATGTAGTAAAACCACCCTGAGAAGAATTGTTTCTTTAGTTGTTATATTCAGAAGACCTTTCTGAGTTTAAGCTCATAAAGCATGCTGAAGGCAGTAAGCTGGTAGTAACAAAAGAGAGGATCAGAGTTTACTTACAGAGCAACCACAGCGTTGCCCTGTGCTTTACACTGCATTTCTGCACGCGGTGGAAGACACATGCAAGAAAGATAAAAGCCTTTGTCTGGCACAACGTGGTAATTAGTAACATGCAGGTCAAATAGGAGGCTTTGTGTGCTGAATAATAAGACATCTTTCTAATACCAAGTGTTGCATAAGTGTCACCATTATTATTTCATGATATACAACTAACCTGGTGTATTTGGGAGCGTTTTTTTTTTTTTAATTCATTTCAGTATTTGTTTTTGTGTTGAGGAAGCATAATTTAAAGTGATGATGAAAATAATAAAAATTCTACAACAAAAGGCCAGATTCATCCTGACGGTAAAAGTAAGATACCAAAATGACTCCTTTGTTTTCTGGGGGGAGGTTTGCTTACAGGAGGCAGAAGAGCGTTTGAAAAGGGAATTCAATGAGTCTTTCAAGACCCAACATCACTCTCATAAGCTGGAAATAGAAACCTTGGAGGAGAGAGCCAAAAAGGAATTACATGATGAACTGGAGGAGATACAGAAAGAGCAAACTCTCTTGCTAGGTATAATGTCTCTTGTCGTACACAGCTCCTACTGCTTGGTTATATGCTGAGAAGGACTGACTTATCCCATTCACTTTCTTCCCTAGCTGTGTGCGTCTCCCTTCTCATACTGCCCAATTTTAGCAGCACACACGTGTTCTTTATTAACCTAGCTCAGCTGTCAGCAGCAGAGCTGCTGCAAGAGTAGTCAGGTACACAGCACACAGGTAGGCACTTACAGATACAGTAAATTGGAATGTCATAGTCAGAATATATGTCTCTCTTTTTCTGGATGAAGAATTATTGTATGTGGATCAAATCTATTCTGTTGGTGCCTGCAGTAGGGTCTAGTGACTCTCTACATATTGTTTATTTGGTTTACAAAGAATAAAGCTCCCTAAGGTGTTCAGTTCTAAATGGAATACTGCGTTACTAGGACCTGTAATATCTCCAGGCCTCAACTCAGATTATTAAAGCTCATTTATAATATTTTTAATTAAAAAAAGAATAACGTGAAAGTACTTTAAGCATAAACCCTGATTCTGCTTAAGCATAAACTTAAGCATAAGTACGTAAGCATAAACCCTGATGCAACTGTGCTTTTCCTAATTAGGAAATTAATTAAATCTCTAGACTTTAGAAACTTACTTTCTCTACAGAAAGTTTTTAAAAAACTTAAGAAACTTAAATTAGAAAGTAATTAAACTTCTTAGAAAGATTTGTTGCTACCTACAGGTTTTATATTCAATAGATAAATTATATTTTGCTTCCTCAAGAAAAATTATGGAGTGAAACAGAGAAAGCCTTGTTTCACCTTCTGCCTTATCCACCTCCAAACTTTGCCCACTGAACAGTGGCAGTATCTGGCAGAGAGCTGCAGGCCTAAGTGGCATGAGCAGGGCTCTGTTGAGGCTGCTTTGTGGCCTTCCATGAACCACCGGTGCCTTAACAGGGAATAAAGTGGATGCAGCTTAGAAAAAGCAATTATCATCCTCTGGTCTTCAAAAACAGTGACAAAATTTCCCCTCTAATTCCTATATTGAGCCATTGCTGTTGTAGCCCCATATCTGTATACTGTTGCTCAAATTAGTTATTGAAATAGGAACAGAAGACCTGTGTTTTACCAGAGATCTCGTGTGTGTTTTTTTAACTTTTTTTCCACAATTAAATTTATAATATTCAATGGAAGAAAGAACTGAGAGCGAAAGCAAAATGTATCAGTGTCTTCAGCTCCTTTGCCAACATCTACCCCCCATCCATCTGGCTTCCCTAATGCCACTCCTTCCTCCTGTCACTAGGATCGGTGCGGCTGGAGCTCTCTGAGCAGCAGGCGCTGTGCACGAGCCTCAGAAAGCAAATAGCAGAACTGCAGGAGGAGCTGCACCGAGTGAGGACGCTGAGGAAGCACCAGGCAAGTTCCTACCTCACTGTCACGTAGTGCTAAGGAACAGGCTCTCTTACAGGGACAGAGGGGATTTCTATCCCTGATGTCACCCTCTGAAATGCTAGTGTTGTTTAACAGCTTCTCCCTACAGGCAGGTTTTTTTTTTTTTTTTTTTTTTTGCTTTTTCTCCCCATTTAAAGGATCATAATCTATACCAAAAGTAAATGAATGTATGTTACAATTTTGGTCAAGGATTTTGGCTTGCACATACAGTTGAAAAATCAGTTATGCACTGAAGTCCAGTGCACTCTTCTGGTCAGATAAGAGGCTGTGAATCATGAAGTTTGGCCTTTTCCTTAGGAAGGAAGTAGCCAGAGCCAGCTCAGATCCCTTCATGATGAACTGGAAAAAAGCCAGCATGAAGTTTCAGGTCTCAAGAAAGAGAATTTACTTCTGAAGGACACAATGGAACTACTGAGTGCAGAGCTGGGGTCACAGAAGCAAGAAGCTGCACAGCTTCAGGACAGGGAGAAACAGCACAGAAGGTTGGCCTGAAATTCATGCTTTAATTGTACTATCAAGAGGGCTAATGTTGGTGTCAGAGGTGCTATAAATGTGATGAGTGTCAGAATGTGGTTTTTTTTTCTATACATACTCATTTAGAGGTTGTGAGTTTTTCAAAATCACAGGTACCACATTGCTTTCTCCAGCCATAGTAATGTTTGCAGTCAGCTGTTCAGTTACAAATGACACACAAATATGCCCAGTGAAATACGTCCCACAGGAATTACCTGAAGAAGAGCTACTTAATTATAATCCCTTATTTGAAAGGGATTGGGACACAAACCCCAATTCAGAACGCTGAATTCTTTTGAAATATCTATTTGAAATATCTAATGATATATTAAAAATATAGAAGTCTCTGAGAGTAGGTAGCAGGTTTTTAAATGTTCCCTGTAGCTGTCTCTGTAGAAGGCGGCTCGCATCCCCTGGGTGGGTTGTAGCAGCACGGGGGTTGCGTTGCAGTAGCAGCCGTTTTCCCACCTCCCTACAGAAGAAGGGCAGAAGTTACCTTTTATTTGGGGTTCCCTGTCCAAAGCATTTGTACAGCTGTGGGATGCTTTGGAATTTGTAAATGGTAACATGGAAGTTTCTTCTTGGAGAGACTGAGGCATCTGGCACGGGGGTAATTTTCAGTTTACTTCTGCACTGGTTAATGCTCAGAACACATGGTTGTAGCTCCTCAATCAGTGCATATAAAGGGATTTCTGAAAAGAACCTCTTTAGGGGAATGCTTTTAAATTTAGCCTTCAGAAAAGCCCTGAAAGGGCACGGTTTCTCTCTGCAGACTGGAAGTGGCCACAGTGATCCTGTTGCTGCTTGCCAGTCAGTGCATGTAGAAAGAATAAGAAAAGCAAAGCAAAACAACAAAAAACCCAACCTCCTTTTCTTCATTCACACCCCTTTGGGAGGTTACTTGGACAGGACGTTTCTTTCAAGCTTTGAAGGATGATAGCAAAAAATTGCAAACCAGAGTGTTTCATCACCAGCTACCTGGAATGATTTTAGAGCAGCTGTTCACAAAGGGAAAAAATATTCACATGTCAGAGAGGATGTCTGAAAGGCCTTTAAAAAAAAAAAAAAAAAGCTGCTGTTCTGGGCTGGGAGATAGTCTTCACAGCAGGTACATGGGGTAGCTCTAGTACAGCAAGCATTTGAGAAGGAAACGTTAATGGAAATGATGTGAGGAATAAACCTGCAACCTGTCAAATATTAGAGCACTCTTCTCAACCTCCAGATGTTTCAAAATAATGTTGCCTAATGTAAGTGAGTTCCCACAGTACATTATGGTCACATTTGACCCACTAGACATTGGCATCCTATAAAGCAGACCCTCCATTTCTGAAAGGCTAAAGCTTAAGCCTTTCTTGTCCAGGTAGCTTCCCCCTTGCTCTCTGTAGTGGTTCTGCTTCAGACTGCAGCTCAAACCAGCAAGGAGATGCCAGGAAATTATCCCCAGTACTGCTTGTGTTGTGAATAAAAGGCTTCCAAGGTGCATGCTTTGATCAATGGTTATAAACTAGATTTCAAGCTTGAGAATTCAGCTTTATTTTAATACCAATCTGAAAGGCTACTGATAGAAGACCTCCAAGTCAAGCATAGTAAAGAACTCGACGCACTGAAACAGGATCACCAGAAGGAGATGGAAAATGTGTTGTGTGATTTCAGCAGCACTCAGGCACATCTTCAAGCAAAAATTTTCTCCTTAGAGACTGAGTGAGTCATTTAAATAAGCTGGGGGTTGTGTTGGCCATGTGTACTGTTTGTCCTTATTATAGTTGATTGATTTATTGTGTATGGATTTATATATAGTGTGTAATCATCTCTGCCGTGATATCAGAGGCCTTAATCCGTGATCTTGTACTTAGTTTTGTTCAGCTAGCAGCATCTTTGATTTAAGCTCTTGCTCATTCTCAGTGCCTTGCAAATATCCCAGGATATTCTGCCCCTGTACCCCCCATCTGAGGGAGCAGAGGCACTTTGCAGTGTTCATTGAAATTAAGCTGTTCTGAGGTGCTTCACACGGGACAGGGGCAGCAGCCCCTAGCACATAATCCTTGTTTTCGGACTTCTCCTTTCCTCCAACCCCAGCTGTGCAGCACATCCCTGGGAAAGAGACCTCTTTGCCCATAGGTGGGTCTCAAGCCCATCCAGACATTAAGTTTTTCTTTTCACCTTAACTGTGAGATAACTAAATCATGATTGGGTTGAGATTGGGAAGGGGATTTTTCCTTTTGAAAAGTTGCCTCATCCAAACAAACAAACAAACCCACCATGGTTCATATTCTGTGCTGTACTCTGAGTGGCAGCCAAACTTCACAGCACAACCCTCAGGCTTGAAGGGACTTGAAGTGGAGACTTGCTTCTCATGGGGCCAGCCTGTCACCTCTGAGCAGCTGCAAGTCCTGGTTTAAACTAGTCCCCTGCCTAAAGCATTTGAAGAGCTGGACTGGCACTGCGAGTTTCGCCTCAGAGGCTTCTTAAAGCAGCGTCTCTGTCCAAGTTGCTCTTTTAGAAAAGTTACAGTAATTTAGTGGCTCTGAAGCCTCTCGTGAGGAGAGTTTAAATCAGTCTGTGGCTTCGAAACTCACTGAGTAGAAAAGAGAACACACAGGTGCATGTCGGGCAATAGTGTGACATAGGTCTTTTTTCCATATTCCCAGCAACGTGATGTACAAGCTTGGTATAATTTTAGACCAGGGACAGGACTTTACACTAGGCTGGCAATTTATTTTGAAATTCTGCAGCAGTCTACGCGTCTGTGTTTATATATATAGAGAGAGAGATGTCCATTTAAATACACACACACACACACACACACACACACACACATACATATTGTTTTATTATAAAGACTTGTCTATGTCCCTACATTTTAAAAATTTTAGTAATAATTTAGCATTTATGGTGGAATGAAACCCAGGTATCTCCTGACCCTCTGATTTGCCTTCTCTCTTTGGCACAGGCTGAAAGAATTAGAAGAAAAGTCAAGAAAGCAGGAGGCCAGGGCAGAAGATAAACATCTTGTAAGCTGCCTGCAAGATAAAATAAGGGAGAGAGAAGAGATTATCAAGCAGCTTGTGGTGAGATTTTTTTTATATATAAGGGATATCTTGGATTTTGCTGGAAGGCTTCTTTCACTCTTTCTGATTTGTGATATATTCACTTTTTCTGCTTTGGAATATTCTAACAAATGTGTATTTCCATAGCAAAGAGTCACATGTAGCTTTATCTCCCGTCAGGAAGGAAGGAAGTTCCAGCATTCACTTTTGGCTAACACCGAATCCTACAGGAGTCGATCCTTTTCTTTCAACCCTAGCCTGGGATGTTTGACTCCTTCCATGAAGGTAAGACAGGTGATTCCATTAAAATTGCAGATCATGGTATTTTTTTGCTATTTGAATCATAAAGATGTTTTCATGACAATAAAATTCCTCTTTGTTTTATATGGTGGAGTTATTCACTAGATTCTTTACAGTAAATAAACCCACAATCAGGTGCTGAATATAATACATATTCAGTAGAATTATATAAGAAAATACCTAGGAATATGGGAGCAGTTAAAACACTACGGCTTCCCCAAAAGAGCTTGGTCCTTCACTGGACTAAGCACAGCTGTTGCTTGCTGTAACTGGAAGCTGCTATTTGGGATCTTGCTGCATCAAACAAAACTTACAAGTGGGATTAGGGCTGCCCAGGACTTGCCCCTTGCCGTGGCAGCCCCCTGGATTACACTGAGCATGAGGAGCAAGGAGGGCAGCAGCTGGAAGCTTCGCGCTGGGGACCGGTGCAGAGCCCTGAGCTACCTAAAACAGCAACACAAACGTGTCTGAATTGGACCCCCCTCACTCATGCATCTTCTCAGCTCACCCTGGGAGGGGGGTTTATTTAAAATGCCTGCAGAAAAAAAACATGAACCTTCATGTCTGGGTGTTCCTCATGAGCTGGCTGAGAACAAGATACTGAGTTTTTATGGTATCAGGTTGGAGAAGGCCCATGTAATGCAGTTTTGTGTTATGACAAAATGCAGCAGAAGAAAGTGGACGAGGGGCCCAGCCGTGTCATCAGCGTTCCGAACTTGGCCTCCTACGCAAAGAGCTTCCTGAGCTGTGACCTGAGGCCAAGAAGAAGCGCTTCCCAGGTGCCCAAGTCAACCAGCCTGGAGCAGAGCTCCCCGGCGAGCAGAGCTCCCCGGCGAGCAGAGCTGCCACCAGGTACTGGCCCGTTTGCAGTGACGTGAGGACCTTCACTTAACTGGCACTCACAGTGCTTTAGGCAATCAAATATGTTCAGCGTTCGGAAGTAAACGATAATGTAGATTCCTGGCCTGCAGTGAACTCCGTGTATAGGTTCCCTGCAAAAAGAGTCCCCTCATGCCCAGAAGGAGCCTTTCATGACTGCCCAGCAGAGCTTGCGGTTGAAATGCCTCCTGGCACAAGGGAGAGAGAGAAGGGCTACCAGCACGTGAATAAAAATGTCACTAATGGCTATTGAATTAATAGCATGGCTACTTAAAACCTTGGGTGCATCTCAGTGGTTCTGTTAAAAATGGATTTTTCTTCCCTACCTTTGTCTCCTTTTGCATTTTGTACATTTGGTAAATGTAGATGGCATGATCTTGTTTTCGGAGACATCTGAATGACTCCAGGATAATGATTTGGTGTTTAGGGACTGAGTAACCGATACCTCATGGTCCTCTGGTGTCACACATGGTGATTTTTGCTGTTTTTAAGTTCCAACGATTTGTGCCACGCTCCATGACCGCCAGGGCAAGGCACCATACGTGTTCTATGTGGGATACGTATGAAACGGCAGCGTGTGCCGGCAGTGCGTGGCCTGGCTGCTCCTTACTTATTCTTTTAAATAGATGGAACTGGGAGTTGCCACTGTAATCTAACCAAAATTAAAATTAATATGAGAAGACCAGAGAGCTGAAAAATCAGGGAATATTTTAGAGGATAAATTATAAAACTATTTATCTAAATATTAACAGTTTCAGATAAATATTTAGATATTAACAGTTTTAGTTAAAGGGGTTTTATCCAGTTTTCTTCAGGCATACTTCATGGACTATGGTTTTTTTTTTTTTTTTTTTGAGATGGAACTGCAGTTGGGTTTGGGGGGATTTTCAGGGCCTCCCATTTTTGAAGTGCCATTTTCTGTTTTTTTGAGAGACCAAGTGGCGAGCGATGCCCAACCGCTGCCTTGCCGCTGCTGTGCCCTGCTCTCCAGCTCCCTGTGTCCTGCAGCGAGCGGTGCAGGGTGGCCACCTGCCCGGCACAGATCCCACTAGGAAGTGACAGCAGTGCCTTCGGGAATCCTCCAGCTCCCGCAAGCACAAATCCAGCCACTTCATCCTGAACCTTTCCAGGAGCGGGGTGGGAAATGCAATAAATATTAGCAGGATTATAAGTGATACTAATGCTGATTTGTTTGCACAGGGCACACGACAGTGAAGTGCTGCAGAACAAAGGTGACCAAAACCGAAGCCGTCAGTCTCAGGAATGGTTTGCAAAATACTTTTCCTTCTAAAGCAAAGTGTCTCCATACAACTCAGAATTACTAGGAAAGAAGTTCCCATTTTCTCTTGGGAAATGATAGTGCAATATGTGAAAAAGCATATATTTATATAATTTCCAAATCCATTATTAGGAATGACTGCACTTTCTTATATCTCATTACGGGCATGGATTTTGGAAAAATAATTTTTTATCTTTTTTTTGGTTAAAAAAAATGAAGTGCAAAATTGCAGATACTGCTCTGTAAAAGACTTTCTACTCAAGAGAGCATGTCCCGCCACAATTACGTGAAATCTGTGATTTCTTCTCACATGCCTCCTTTCAGTCTGGCCCCAGCTGAAGGAACTCCTCACCTCTGTAGGTGATTTCTCTAAGGTTACATGTTTGTTTCATTGTTGTGTAAAATCATTTCAGCTTATGTAAGTTTATAAGCTTGAATAGTTGTTAAGCTACCTTTATGCTATAAAGCATGTGATATACCTCCAAGAAGAGCATGTTTATAGCAGGTTGTTTAATTAGTTCTTGATTGATGAACTGATTTCTCATTTTGTTCTTACTACAAAATAAAACTACGGCTGCGCTCCAACATGTGTAAAATTTAACCTGATAGATCAGGGTAATATGTAAATATTAAAACTTGCTTATAAACCATCCCTTTGTTTTGCAGAACAGTTACAGCTGTTATGCTGAAGTCTGACTCAGACTGGTACTCTCTGAGTTGCGGATTGATGGAAACTGTATATTTGGGCATTTAATGTCTATACTGTATTCCAGTAAACAAAAGAACACAGTGGGTGAAAGACTAAATTTATCATCCTTAGCTTAGGCAGTTTAACAAACTTGTTTTCCAAAGGCCTTCCAGAATGCTCGGGAATAGAAGTGGATTCTGTGGACTTAAACAGTGCCCATGAGCTAACAGCCACCTGGGAATCCCTCATGGCAGGAGGGCAGAGTCATCTTTTGCACCAGCTCTACCCCAGCTTGAGAGCAGCAGAGCGTACTGGCACAGGGAGGGATTATCTACCCTCCAGGTGCGCTTGGCAGCTTCATTCATCCCAAAGGAGTCAAGTTTCAATAGCCCAAGACCCCTGCACGATGTAAGTGAGAGCCAGGGGAGACAGCAGAGTCGCCTCAAAAAAACACTCGATCCAAGCAGAACACAGGCAAGGCAGAGGGTGCTCCTGCAGCGCTGGTTAAGGATAATGAGCAGTATTTCTGCGAGCCCGCAGACCGTGCTAATCTTTTTGAGTGCAGTAGGTGCAGCCTCCTTGCAAGATCCAGGCAGAGGAAGGGCAGGGGGTCACTCTTTCAAGGACAGAGAGGACGTATTTCTGGAAAACTTTGTACTAGGGCCTTGCATACCCTCTTGTAAATATAAAATCAATGCCTATTTTAGCAAAGAAGAAGAAAAAAAGCATCATTTATTTGTCTCAATTCCCCGTCTTTACAATTTCTGTTGGCAGTAACTACATTATACAGACCCCAGTTAGAGTAGGAAGTGCCAGGCGCCGGTGCCCCGTTCCGGACATTCCCAAGGAGCGTAACGCTCACGTCGGCTTCATGGGGGCAGGAATGTTGGCGGATGCCTGTTCCAGGTAAGCCAGGGGGCCCTGAGGCATCTCCGCAGGCTTCTTGTGCTGCACACTGATATCCTCCAGCACCTGCTGCCAGTGGCGCAGCTTGCCCAAGTGCTTCTGAATTAATGCTTCTTTTCTCTGCAATTCGTTTCTTAACTCTGAGACATCCTATGGATGAAAAAAGTATATAATTAGTAAACAGGCAGCGCTCGTAAAAAACATGGGAAGGCCTTGTAATTTTTTTAGTTAAGTTCTCAAACTAACCTTAGTGGGATTACACCAGTGAAACAGTACTTAGTAAAACAGAAAGCACCACAAGGGGATCATATCCTATTTGATCCCCTATTTCACTGATATCTTATTTCTGGCAAAATCAGTCTAACAACTGCTTCGTTTCTTCAGGCTGAGGGTGAGCCCTGTGTTGACAGCCTGAGTTCTTCCCAGCTTAAGACCCAGCATCACGTTTAGTAATCTAAAATTACTGTGGCTGCGGTGATCTAAGTGTCCCGGCACAGCAGCTTACCTAGTACAGTATCGACCAGTTGATTCAAACTCACCTCTTTAATCACTTGCTCCGGTTTCTGGACAGAGAGCTGCAGTCGCTTTTGTAGGAAAAAACATTCTGTTTGTCTTGCGACATCCAGAAATTTCTGGATACACTGATCAACACCTAAGCGCACAGCAATCAAATTGAAAGAACAGATTACAATAAAAGGAGTTACTGGGTGTTACAAGTAGTTATGTGCACATTATTAAAAATATTCTTTTTTACTAGAAAACTCCTGAGGTTCACTAAAATGTATTTTAATGCTATATGCTTATATATAAAAAAAAAAAAGTTGGCTCCCTCTAATAAAACATTGCCCTGCAGCCTTTCTGAACTACTTTGAAAGGTGCAAGAAAACAGGTTTTTAATTTTTTCTTTTCCCCTGGAGAAGTTTTCTTACATCTTCTACAACAGTAAGGGCCAAAGCAGTCATCTGTGGGACCTGGCCAAATCCATAAAGCAAAATTAACCACTGGTCAGAGCAACACGCTCACCGCCCAGGGCTCAACTGCAGACAGATTTAGGAGAAGGTGCCACCTTTAGAGACTATGTGTTACTGTTTTGGTGTGTGTTTATGTATATTATATATATGGAATGTGTGTATATATAATATACGCAAATATATTTTATATATAGTATATATATGGTATATATGTTTTGGTGTAAAGAGATATGTAATACACATGTATGTGTGTATGTATACATAATGCATAGACGTGTGTTACATATGTATGTATGTATGTATATAGGAGAAAAGGGCGGCTCCCAGCCCCTATGCGTGCACAGCGCAGCTCTCACACGCGTTTACGCCGGTTTCGAGACGAACCCCGCCCGGGAGCCGGGGCCGACCCTTTCTCCGGCTCCCGCAGCCCGGGCGCGGCCTCGCGCCCTCCCGCCGCCTCACCGGTGCGGATCTCCTCCTGGTCCGTGCCGTTCACGTAGTCCTGGCTCACGAGCGAGGCGAAACACGCCTGCGGACGGGAGAGAGGGGACAGGCCGCGTGGGCACGCGGGGCACGGCCGCCCCGCCGCCGCCGCCCGCGCCGCCCCC